CAGATAGATATGATGCAGAGCCTGAATTAGATCAGGCTACCAGTGTTTTACTTCTTCCCTGAACATTAACAAGCTCCTTCACTAATGTGGATATTTGGGCAGACTACTGAGGTTGTAACGTTTGAGATCACCGTTTTGTGGGCTTTTTTTTTTTCCTTTTTTTTTCTTTTTTGCAATATCACAGTAGTTTGTTACACAAATCCCCCTTCCCCAGATTAGAGTCATTTAAACTAGTTGTTGGAACCACATAGTTTAGTAAACTCAGAATCAAGTCTGTAAAAAGCATAAAGGTCAAAGAACCATAGTTCTGTTAGAATGAGGCATACCCTAATACATCATTTAGTGTACCCTGACTGCTCCTGACTGTGAGAAGCTTGTCTTCCGTGAGATAAGGCTACATCCTCAAGCAGGTGAGTCTAAATATCACCCTTCAAAAATATCAAACAAAATTATAGCAAAGGTAGTGTTACAAATAATTAACTGACATATTCTGAAGGTAGTGTATGTAAGTTTTCCCTCCCCTCCCCTCCGGGTGAGCACTAAGCAGACAGTGAATGCTAAGTATGTTTAATTTAGAAAGAAAATAGTGGAGAGCCTAATTAGACCCAATTGATTATCCATCTAATCAACAAATCTCTGAGTTCAAGAGAGGTACCATTCCTAAATAACTTGATTTAGCTTAGATCTTTCAATCAACTGGATCAAAGAAAAGGAGGGGGAAAAAAGATTTCTGAAACATTTTGAAGAATGACAGTCTGATTCTCATTCAAAAAAAGCCTGGTTTTAAGAGAGTATCAGTTTAACAAAGTGGACTTATTTCTGTAAAGGCAGACATGAAAAATCCAACACCAGAAGTTCAGGCAGGCTCTACAGGCAAGATGTCCACTTCTACAGATCTGCATTCTTTGTGAGGTAACTCAACTGTCTATTACAGAGAAACATGCAAAAGGCAAAAGAAAAGAAAAAAAAAAAAAGGGGGAGGTGGTAGCGGGCAGGTGAAGGAGGGAAACTGTGCCATACCAGGCTAGAAAAATTTACAATGTGACATTCAGAGCACACCTTTCACTTGTGTCCACACAAGTCTATGCTAAACTGCAAAGGAAAGAGCATTGCAGTAAATAGGAGAATCAGGTGTGCTCAGTGGTGGTTGAACTATGCAGTAGTGCTCACCCAGTTTGCAAAGTAATTGGCACTCTACAACATCCCTACTCATCTTTCAATTCATTCGCACTTTGTGCTGCTTCTCCCTGGGGATCTAATTCAATCTTTACTGAAACATCCTGCCCCTCCGACCTCATTAATTTCATTTTTTTCTTTGGAGGGTTTTTCAAAGTGCCCAGCCTCTCTTTAACTTTGTACTCCAGTGTACTGTGGGGGATCCCATAAATACTCTGAGCTTTGGAAACACTCATTTTCCCGCTCATAACCACAGAGATTGCTTCCTCCAGTATCTCGCTGTTGTACTGTCTGTATCTCCCTCTTTTCTTCCTAGGTTGCTTGGAGCCAGGATCTCCCTCTTGATCTGAGGTGGGATATGGCTGTCCAGAGGTAGACTGCTCAGCATCTGAGCCCCAGGAATCTGGTCCAGCATCCAGCAAACTTCTCCTGTTTTGTTTTGGAAGGATAGCCCTTAACTTTTTGCTAAGCGCGCTCTCCGTTTGTGAACCCATTACCAAAGAGCTATAGCTGTACTGGTCACCAGTGCGGGACTCCCATGAAAGGTCCATGCCTCGAACTTGTGGTATCTTTAAATCCACAGGAGACGAATGGCTCACGTCCTTTTTCCCATCCTGTTTAGTTTGAAGTGCCATTTTTTGAAAGGCAGAGTTTTCTGTAAGAAAAGGAAGGTCACTGATGTTGCTGAGTGCACCATTTCCCCTGAATTTCATGCGGCTGAAATTGAATTCGTAGTGTGGTTTTGCCCAAGAAGCCTCCCTGGATAATATTAAGTGCTGTCCATGATTCTGTAGTCCAGATGGCCCATGGCTGGCAGCCGTAGAAAACTGGTTTCTGCTCAGCAGTTCTTCACTAATCTGGAGTGATCGAGCCAGCGGTACTTTAAGAGATGTGGAGTGGCCATAACCTTCCCTGGTTCCATCCTGCAAGCTTCTTGGAGGTACCCCATCACCACTCTGTAGTCCCTCCGGATGGTGCTGGCTGGGTCTCCCAGGTCGCCTAATTGGATGGAAGGAAACTGATGTGAGCAGGACTTGCACAGGTAGGGAGGGATGGGTGAGGGGGCCACTCCTTTATTAGAAGGCCTTGCTTGGGTAACATCACTTTTTGTGTATTTATTTTTCTCTAAATTTTTTTTTATTATTATCATCATTTTATTTTAAATTTTTTTTTTTTTTTAAGTCTCAGCATCAGTCAGTTTTAAAACTTGTTCACAAAAAAAGAGAAGCTTTTTGGGCAAAGAAAAATGAAACCTGTTGGCTGGTCTCTGGTTGGGTTCACAAATTCTCGGAGTAGAAAAGACTTCGCGCAAGCGTCTGAAAATAGCACCCTAATTACAAAGTAGTAATCAATCGCCATAGATCTACACACAACTGTGTTACTGGTGTGACGTTACCACTAAACAAGTACAGTAATAAAAGAGTAAGCCAAAGTGCAACATATTCAACATGCAAATATGACTGCCACCTGCAGTATCTACACATAGGTGGAAACCTTGGATGATGTTCGCTTACATCATATTGAAGAATTGCTGCTCAGGATGGAAAGAAAAAAAAATGCTTAGCAGGCCTTAAAGGTATTTGCTTGACTTTCATTAAGCACCAAATATGAAAGCACTGCATTACACTAGACTTACCAAATTGCTCTCTTAACAACTAATTGCATATATACATGTTCCCGATTCTCATTCGATACATAGCATGGCTAGGAAAAAAAAAGATCTAAGTTCCAACTGTCATCCAGATCAAGGGTTAATAACAGAAAAAGGGGTATGTATTTTTACCATTTTCCTTTCGTCACAAGTGCTCTTTCTATGACACAAAGTACTACTACTGCAGATAAACACGTGTATTTTAATATTTTGCTTGCTTAGCCCCTGTAGTAACTAAGTCACACTAGTTTCAAAATCCACCCCCAAACTTTTCCATGTTCAACATACAGATTAACGAAAAGACTAGTAAGCAATTCTATTTCAATGCTCTGGGACACTATACTGGTGCGTAAAGCCCTCTAGCTAAGTCAGCGTTATTTAAGGATAGGATACGTACTGCTGAAAAGCTACATTATTCTTTTTAACATCACATTGGGATTAAAAAAAAAAAAAAAATCTTTAGAGAAAAAAAAGACATCCACTGAAAGGACCTGGCATGTAATATACATAGTACTCGATACATATGCTGCTAGCTTCTCTCCAGGATGCAATAGGTCATAGTTGAAGTGGGTAACAAGAGTCAACAAGGATTCAGAACAAAATCCAGAGAAGTGAATGAAAGTTTGCTATTCCAGAGAACTCTCTCAAGCAATGTGCATTCTCTGCCCCTTCTACAGCATGTATCAGCATCAGAATGCGCACCAGTGATTCTACGCCTAAATAAAGGTCATACTGGCAGCTAACTAGGACAGAGGGTCACACCCGATTTCACTGATGCTAAACAGACTGCAGTCACCCTCATCTACCACACACCTGTACAAGTAACCACAGGTGCCAGTATGCCACATCCTCTCTGGACCCACAGAACTGATCAGGACAGTGCCAGATGCTGGCCCTGTCATCCCTGTGCGTTGGACTTTGGCCCTCGCTTGACACACAAACAAGGGAACAAACAATACACAGCCTCGGTGGCTTCTGCTGCCTTCCTAGGAAAATAAAGTTGGAAATAACCTGTTCAGCATTGAAAGAGAAGAGCTGGTGGGGAAGGTTTATGCTAAAGAATTGTGAAAAAATATTAAGACTAACTTTTAAACAAGGATTGAAGTATTTTAGTAATGGAAATATTAAATAGAAAAAAGTAATCTTGAAGGAAGAAATCTGAGACAGTAATATTTTTCCAGAGAGAAATGCAAAAGTTAAATCAGTTGTTAGCAGTACATGGGATTGGTGGTGGTGGGTTGTTAGTTTAAAATTTCTAGTTTTTCAAAGTCTATTGTAAAGCTAAACCCAGCAATTAAATGGCAGTTTAAACCACATACTGTTTCTGTACTTCACTAAAGGAATTACTTGTTCACAGCAGCTTCAAGAAAAGATTCTCCCATCAACACCCAAAATCCCTCTTACTCCCAGTCAGCCTCTCCAGTACAATTTCTTCAATCCTAGCTAAGAGTAAAGGGTTTCTAAACGTATGCAAAGTGACCATTAGAAATATGAAACCTTAAAGAAGTTTTGTTGATATAACAATCTTTCACACCTTGAACTAATTAAGGCAAGACTAGTACACCACATATTTAAAAAAACAAAAAAACTTGTTCAGTGCTACAGTACAATCACAAATCCAAAAAGCCATATTTAAAGTTTTCTGAACTACCAGACTCCCCCCCACCTTTTCTTTTTTTAAGTTGTGGTTTATGCTAGGAAATATTAACAAAGAGCATGCAGTGATTTAAATCTAATTCAGCTAGGTTCATCACCCAAATCATTGCTACCACTAAAATAAACTTTTCTGTTAGCTAACTTTCCCTTAAGTGAAATGAAATCTGAATTATATTGCAAAGCCTCTAAGACTCTTCATACATTTAACTGAACTTGCATCTCCACGGACATCACTTATCACTGAACCCAAGAAGCAGGTAATGGAAATATCTTTGGCTAAGTACGAAACTGGCCAAAATAACAGATATTAGAGTTCTTAACTGCAAGCTAAACCTGTCTCAGTTTGCAACAACTCTTATTTGGCAGGTGGGATGAAGGTATTTACCAAAGGTACAAGACGAAAAACACATTACTCCAAAGGGTTAACACCAGAAGTAAGTTAAAATTAACAGGAGGTAAGCACACATTTTTAGTAAAAAACAGTTTTAAAAGGTCATAGTAAGTTGCTTTCTCTTACCCATTTCCCGGAGTACTGGAGCACCCTGGAGAATGACTCACAGAGGTGCTGCCGGCGCAAGGACTCTTCTTAGTGGATAAATCAAGCACACCGTCTGTAGAGACACAAGAATTACTTCAGTGTTTGAAGAAACAGGAGCAGCCACGTTGTCCCTTGACAAAACAAGGCTTTTGGACTAAAGTCATACTTAGCACACAGCATTTTCTATTTTATTTTAAACAAACTAAGGCTTGGATTTGTTTGTAATTTGGCTTACAAGTGACTTCAACATAGTCCTCAGAATTCACAACAAAATTTGGCAAAATTAAAAGCACATCTATTACAAGGGCCAGAGAATAAAAGATGACCTACAAATGACAGTTCAGGATACAACACAGCCTATCGCATAACTAACCCTCATCAGTTCTAAAAATGAGACATTCTTCAAGTTTCTAAGATCTGGGGGGCTTTAAGCCAGTATTTGAAATTTTTTTGATCCACATCTCCATAGGAAAATTCATTGAGAATTTCACATTGGAAACTCACTTTCAAATGAACACACACACATAAATGTGAGACTCCTCCTCACCTGGCAGCTAGCTTCATCCTTTTTTTCCATGTCTCCGATGGGTCCCTACTGGCAGAGCTGCTGCCTTTCCCCTCTGTATTGTGCCATTTTGCTCCCTCTCTTCTTCCATAGACCAAATTGTTTTTCCTGCTAGACTGCTTCTTCCATTCACACTAATGGCACCTCCTCACGCTCACCCATGCTCCTCTGCAAGCCCTTACGTAAACTCTGTATTTCTAGGCAACAGAAAAGGAAGCGCTTTTTGCTAGAAAAGCCTTGCTCCCACTGCACTGAAACAACTTGAAATTCTGGTCATTTTAATAAGGGCAACATAGTCATAGAAGCAGCACAGCCAGCTGAAATTCCTGGAAACTTTGAAACAAGGAATTTATGAGGCAAAGATAAATGAAACCTGTTGGCAAGGTAAACTAGAGACGTTTCAGAGCTTCTCGCTCATTCCATCTACTCAAGTAAATACCACCCAACACAAGAACAATGTTTTCAGATTGCTTAAAGTTCTCATTTGACATGGAGAAAAAACATGATGAACAGTGAACTAGAATTAACTCAGGGAAAGCTGTTCCACCCACTGCATTTGGGAACACACCATAACCCAAACTTAAGCAAGCAGACAATTCAATCTTCCTTTTGAACAATACTTATGCAGCCACAAGATACAGAGACTGGATCAAGTAGCACCTTCTTTTCAAGAGGCTATACTAAACAGCACAGGCTGCTGCCAAAGGCACTTGCATCCACACTTCCTCAGTCAGAAGAGTCATTACGACCTAGAAGTCTCCGAGGGCAAGCAGAACCAGCCTCATACCCCATGGAGAAGTTTACAAACTAGCTGGGTTCCCCTCAATCCGCTAGAACAGAAATATAACAAAAAGCACCACACTAACAGCCTTTCATGACAGCCTCTCAAACCTCTCATTAACAAGTTTGGCAAAACCTCTTCCCAATTACATTAAATGTAAATTGGAAAAAAAATAATTACATCAGCAAACAGATTACTGTATAAGTTAATATGCACATGTTCTAATTCCATAACAAGTGTTATGAACATTATAAATTATCTTACAGCTTTTTCATCACATGGTAGCTAAAGAACAGTTCATGTACTTGCTTTCTTCTTCATCATACAATCCTCTAATTAAAAAAAACCAGAAGCAAAACTGATTCTCTCCCTCTCTCTTTCAGTGAAAAGCTTCACAATGAGAACAGTAACATTTATAAACATATATGCAAAAGACACTCGTGAAATGCATTTACAATAAAATTAGCTAGAAACAAATGCCTACCAGATAAACGTACAGGTCCTCACTTCAAGAAAGACACCATACAACCTTTCACTGCAGTTTTGTAACTGAAGTGTGGTGACAACTTTCAGTAAGTGCTCTAAGTGCAGTAAGTGTCCAGATGCCCAAGCTGCATATTGTCGGACACATAAAATTAACCTTTTTACAGAAGGCTTCATAAATGTAAGTTCAAAGAATAAAGGGATACCTACAATTCTGTACTAGCTAACAAAAGGCTTTTTTTTTTTTTTTAAAGGCACCTTTTCTACTTGAGGATGGACAGCCTACTTTGTATTTGATAGAATGATTTCAGACGCTAACACACTTCTAAAGAAGGGTAAAGGGGCTAATTTTAATCCTATCAGTAGGATACACTTATGATAACCTCTATTCAACAGTTTCAGGAAAAAAAAAAGAAAACATTCACATACTATAATCACTCACAGAATTTGCTTGTTAAAAAAACATTCTTGATGGAAAACAAGGTTTTCAAATTAAAACAAGCTCTGCAACACTGTTACAAGTTATTCAATCTGTGCTCTGCAGAACAAGTCTATTTTTAAGGTAGAAGAGAGACATTTCTTCCAAATGCATAAGCCTGGAAGTTTTGTACAGTTCATGGGTATAATTTTTGCAGCCTTCACAAAGAAATTTCTCACAGACTTTTACAAGATACTGTTTTCACACTGTGACCAGAAAGAACATAAATCAGTCCTTCAGTCAGGCTGTTTACTGATCTTCAGAAAGGAGACAACATTATGGTTTTCATGACCACATGAACTTGTCTTATCAGCAAGCGTACAGTCTATTTTGGCAGATTGTTTCTTGCCGCTTCCAGCAGGAACAGCACACTTGTTCCCAGAGTTTGGAGCATGTCCATCCCCTTTGCCCTTCCTCAGGAAAATCACTCATGTCTATGGGCCTACATTCTTTCAAAAAGTCTCTTCTCTCCCAGCCACATCTAGCTAGTCATTATTTTACTATAAAAACATCTACCGCTTTTCCACTTTACATTTTATGTAAAAGGGCAAACTTCTAATTGTCTGGTTTTGCAACAAGAATGCCATTAATGGATTGCTGTAAGATGCAAGACACTGGTAAGAGTCCTACCTTGTTCACTAGGTTCTGACTGAGACTTTCTGACAGTAAGGTCCAGAGGTGAGTCTTGGTCAGCCATGAGAAGTTTGCTGAGCACAGGGTTCTGAGCAGTTGCAGCCGTGGGAGAGGAGGCGACCAGAGATGCTTTCAGCAGGCTTTGGTTCTTTGTGCTATTGGGCTGGCTGGAGTCCTGAGTAGAGCTATTTTTTGAGGTATATTCAGCAGCAAACTGTCGGATCATTCGCTGCATGATCTCACGGGCCACTAGGGGAATATTGGGGTCAGAGACCCTAGGACTGTCTGTAAATATTAGAGATTTTTTTTTTAAGGAAGCACTTTAAGTAAAACAGCTTTTATATTAAGTCATTGTTTAATTAAAAAAAAAAAAATCTAGGGAAAAAAATGAAAGCCAAAGAGAAATAGTTTCTGCAGAAAACGTACTTTAGTCTTAGCATACCGGAACAAGAACCATTGCTAATTCTGGTATAACCTTCCCAAAATAACAGTTTCCTAAAAGAAATATGCAATCTCATCTTTTGCTTTCAAATATAGATATATTCGACCAGACCTTTAAGAGGTGTGGAAATGGAAAGGAGAGCCAGACCCATGAAAAAAATACCAAGTATTAAAGCTCATTCCAAAAAAATTGAACAGGTTACTCAGTGGAAGAATTGAGTAACTTACCTGCAGCTACAGAAGGGGAGAAACGAGAATAAAGTTGCAGCAGTCCCCTGCAAGTTTACTGAGAAATAAAGCCCTATAGTTCTGATTCTTCAAAATAATTCACACGAAGATCAAACGTTCAAGTGTCTTCCATCCCATTCTATCTATTCCTTTTGACATTTCTGTCATTATCATCAATGCAGCATCAGGGATTACCCAAAGAATTTTCACATGTACAAAAAACCAAGATGCGTCACATGAAAAGTAATTCTATTTCTGGAAGAGCTGCTAAATCTATTAGTAAGAAATGTGAAATGGAACAGGTAGACATTCCAATTTATTTATATGAAATAGTGTATAAATACAAAGGTATTTGGGGATGTGGGCAACCCAAAAATATATTGGCAGAAATCACTATTTTAGACCAGTAGTAATTCATGATGTGAAAGCAAATCTGTAACTCCTAAATCACAGAAGCTAAGTCCTGCCACTTCACCTCAAACACTGATTGTGTTCTCTGGCCAAATCAGTTTTGTTTTTTTTAGAAAAACAAAAAAAGAAAAAAGAAAAGAAACAAAAAAAAAACCAACCCCCCCCCCCCAAAAACCCCAAACAAAACAACACACCACAACCACACAACAACTCCAGAAATGGCTCAAAAGGTTTGATTTTCTATTTCTGAAGAAACATTCAGAGAAAATTGTGCAGCAGAAGACCGAACAGATCTTTAAAAGCAGCTCTCAAAATGGAACAATAGAAAAGTGTTTACTTCCTCTTTAAAAAAAATTGCCCAGGTTGAAAGGTAATCTATTGAGATTGAACTATTAGAAGCATTAGCAAAATCTTCTGTGGGACATTTCAGCGGTAGATTTGCCTTTTGCCACCATTTTTGACAAAAGTGCATCAATCCAACAAACCAGCTTCAGTGTATCTGTAAAGGATGACTGACATGAAGGTTTGAGCACGGAGTTGCCCACAAACCAGAGAGCAGCAGTAAGCAGCTACTGTGTTTCTTGATGAAAAGCCATACTGAGCTTTAAATACTTACCAAGGCCAAATTCCTTCCTTTTAAGCACAGCTTTCTAAATCTAAGACCTTATACAGTCACCATGTATATTCTTATAGGGGTATAATAGCTGTAAACTTTCAAGATGTTTATGTAAATACGTAATCATTTTCTTGTAAAATCTACAGGATGTTTTTATTGTTGTTAAGGATGAGACACTAGAGTTTTAAGAAGCCACCAAGAGATGAGCCAAACTTAAATTTAGGTACATCTATATTCTCACTTTCTTCCCAAATGGTCCACAAGGACACAAGCCTGGAGAAGCGTGGAGGCTTTTTTCTGCTATGGTGACGTTTCTTCCATTTTCTAACCTCTCTACTAAAACCTGCTGAAGGACATATGAAAGGCTCTAGGAAAGCCCAGAAGGGCACAAACTGATGGCATGATCACACTGATACCAACTATTCAACACGTGCTTGTAGCATACACAAGCGGGGCTGGCAGGAACGCAGAGCTCTATGGCACTTATGTTTTCTGAAGAAGAATCATGCCTTTACTGTGCACCCATGTTCATATGTACAATTCAGTAATCCTTACAGCTGAACATATTTCCAAATTCAGGGAGAACATATTACATATGCCTACAGACATGCATCTTTGTAATCTGCAACTTCAAAGAATCAGCACAGAGTGACTACTGGGATCTTTCTAGTGCTGCTCAAGATACTCACTAATTCAGGACACAAAACTCAATTTTCAAGCAGAAGGTAGTTACCTAGCACATTAAAGGCTGCTTGCTTAATATAAAGCCTGAATGCTAAGGATTAAAGCTGTTCAAAAGCGAGTGGAAAATATTTGCTGGTGCCTCTGCAGCATCACTTGAAATCAACCAGATGTTTATTTTGACTCCAAGTGTCTAGGTTTTTTGAAAACAAATAAACTAAAATTAACTAAAACAAGAAATTATCAGAGAAGAAAAATACAGCAAATATTTATCAGCTATAAATAGTCTAATGCAGTACCTCTGAGCTTTAAAAGCTTAATAGCTTTTGTGTATTTTATCTATACTGAAATCTTAGAAGGGCAGTATCAAACAAAAAAGGGTATGATTTCATTACACCATCAAAAGAAGGTCCTATCCTGCCACAAGGTAAAGGTGACAGACAACCAGGTACTACCACTCTGCTTTCACTGGAAAGTATGAATATTTGAAAGAAGCATTACTGAGTCAGAGTGCCACAGGCACAAAGCAGAGAGAAAGTATGTAAGACTAATGGACAGTAAACCTGTTCAGAAAGTTTGCTGATCTTGCTAATTACCTGTGTATGTTAAGTACATGAGTGCACGTCCTTGACATGCAACAGGCATCTGTTCACAGAACATCTGCATTTTCTCTGATCTGCCTGGGCTACAAAATACCAGTCTCAAATGTTACTGGCAGTGAAGATGGAAAGAAAAAAAGAACAAATCGCTGGCATGAAGCCAGGAGAGCCCAGCATCTCTGAGCAACGTAGGAGCGTCAGAGTTGTGACATTCTTTGTGTCCTCTTTGGTATGACAGTGCCTGGGGATCTTATGGCAGTGGCATGAGTTAGAATAACCTTCCAAGCAATCTAAATACAGCCAAGCTTGACAATGATGCATTAAGAATTCAGAACTGACTTCCTACCAGGCTTCTTCCCCTCCCTTATTACTCTTGCACCAAGCACAGCTTTGCCAGAGGAAGGAAAGCAAGAATATATTAAAAAAAAAAAATCTCAAAGATTCTTAGACATCTGAAGTGATTTCATTATCTTCATTCTGTCTATCTGACCATGGACAGCGTTAAATCCCTCATTACCAAACTGCAATATCTGCCAATAGTTTTCCAACAATTAGGAAAGTATGCATTTCTAATAAGACACCCATACAGGTCATACCTAAAAATTTAAGCTCAATGTTAGAGGGATGAAGTCTTTAACAAACAATTTGGAAGTGATGGAAGCGCATTTTTTTCTCTCACCAGAAAAGCAATATGGAAAAAAGTATAATTTCTCTAAATTTTTGTTTTCTTCAATCCCTTCTGGATTTAAGGGAGATGGGATAAATTTAAAAGCAAAAGGAAACATTAACCTTAAAAAAAAAAACCAACACCACAAAACCACTGAAAAGGAAGACTTGGAATAAAAGCATCTGAACTATCAGTAGTAATGCAATAACTATCCTTCCTACCATCCTACATGCATCTATACTTTATGCAATATATCATAATGTATAGTTTGTATTTATTCATTTGAGTCATAAAAGAAAGGCTAAGATACTGTTATCTACTTAAAACACCTTTAAATATTTTGGTCACTGGGAGGAAGGGCTGAGGACTGGCTACAGCAATTTCTAATTTGTTAAACTGAAGCCTCGCATTGTCCCCCAGCAGACAGGTTGGAATTACTGATTTGGCAGATTTTCTCGCACATGGGTTAGGCTGATAAGTACAATGTACTTTCATTCAGGATGCATTTGGAAGCAACCTCTGGATTCCCGTTTCTCAGATTGGTAGAAAACAGTGAAATGAGTTTTGTGCCTTCCTAAGAGTACATTTAACTGACATAACTCTCCAGAAGAGGTTTAGAGGATTTTCTAGCATTGAGCTACTGTTATTGTTCTCAGCACATTCTACAGTACTGATTTTCCAATTCTTTTGCTGATCATGTTTTGAATTCACCATATATCCCTCTTAGCATTATTCCAACAATATTTTATACTGTGGATTGCTGGGGGTGGGTAATCACTACAGACCATAGTGAGAAGACTGCTGACCTTTAATAAAATCTGCATTAGTACACATCCCATTAAAATTAAAACAAACAAAATCACCCACCTATTGCAACCACCGCCACTTGCCCCTTCTTCCAAACAGCCCACCCACCTAAACATTGGTTTCAGGGGAGCAGTTCTGCTGGGTAAGAACTGAGTCATTCCTCCATAAGTGCAAAACACCAGTGTTCTCATGAAGAGATTTGTTTTAGGGTTTAAATGTGTTATACTCTCCTTCCTCTGTCCCAAGCCAACACTGTTGTATTGCTACATTATTTAAGAGTCAATTCTTACTCTTGAGAAAGATATATATATATATATATATATATATA